GGATGACTTTCACTTTGCAGAATTTGGAAATTTGAAATACGTGCATCATACTATAGACACATTCTCACGGTTCCAATGGGCTACTGCTCTTAGCCATCTGAGCCATCTCTCCAGCCCTTAGGAGGCGTGGTTACAGTGTCTCCCTACAGTGTATGTGTATCTTCTGCCCTGACACACAAAATGGGAGTGTGTTTACTTCTGCCCTGACACACATGACCTTTTGTTTTCCTGAGGAAAAGTCAAGACAAACCATGCTACTCTTCCTGACTTCAGAATCTCAACAGCATCAATATATTTCCATTTACAGCCGAGTGGATGCCTTCTTATGACTGTCCTCTGTGTGCACGGCATCTATGTGCCTGAAAGCATGGGAACTTAGTTCCCAGTCCTGCACACAGGCAGGACAATAATTACACCACAGATGGTCTCTTGCAGAAACAGCCACTGAATGACAATAGGGAGGGATGGTATACCAAGTGGACACACTGGACAAAAGGGCAATTCATATCCTGAGTGGAGCCAGGCAAGAAGAGTTCAGTGCCCCACTTGGAGGTCATAAAGCTGAAACTGAATGGATTGTTTCTGGAATTTCCTACTTATTTTTTTTCTGGGAATGGCTGAATATAGGGGACAAACTGCAGAAAATGAAGCCTCGGATAAGAGGAGAATATTTTCATTTAAAACAAGCCAGAATATTAGTTATTCGACTTCTATTAATCTGTCGTGAAAAAGGGGAGGTAGATAGAAGCAGAAACCTGATTTTTCAAAATTCTGTTTCTCTGGCTTTCTACGCAGCTGTGGTACATGGATGGCGTCAGAGAAGATAGGCAGCTGGGGAAGTGTGGCTTGTCACTACCCCAACCAGAAGTAAATGGTCATTCTACTGACCACACACAGAAAGGTTAAAAAGCAGCATGAAAAGCTATGCTCTGCAAAAGGGGCTGCAGGCAGTTCTAGCACATAGGAAGTGGCTACTGAAGACCAGGCCCTGTCGCCTCTGTGGATAACTCCTGTCACAGCAGGTCTCACTAAGTCAGAATCGGTGGGCCAAGAGGACCCTGAGCCCCAGAGCCTGTGGGGTTAAGCAGCCTGCAGAATTAATTACCTTGGCCCAGCTTAAAAACTGCCACTGGGATCCCTGCCACCTTCTTCTCACTGTCCCTTCTTTCCTTCATAGCTTTCTGAAAAGGATTCTTCACATCCTACTTACTGGCTGGAGACCTTCCGATGGGGGCAAGGATGAAAAAAACAAACAAACAAAAAACCAACCAACCAACCAAACAAACAAACAAAGTTGACGTAAAAATGAAAGGCTTTGGGGCAGGGGAGGACACTTTCAGCCTCCTGGACACTTTTGAGCACGAAGCTCTGGCCAAAGGATTTCTCTCACAAAGTCTGGAGTTTGAAGATAAGCAAGTATATAGTTGTCATTGTTGTCTCCAGAGCATGTTAGAAATAGTAACATAACATTAAGAGAGGAAAGGAGCCCGGCCCCGCCCCCGCCCGGCAACAGGCCCTGGTTCAAATGCTTGCCTTACCTATTCACCTAGTATATGAGCAATCCATCTGCAGCGAAAACCAGACACACCAGAAAGGGCAAAGCTCTTGCTGTCCCTACCAGGCTTCTGTAACCATTCCATTACGGTAACTATAGAGGAGGCGATGCAGTGGGGCTCTTACATGCAGCTGTAAAAGCTTACTGAGCGATTATTTAATCAATTATTACAGATCAGTACCCTGTAAAGCCTGCAGCATCAAAGGCTGTGATCCTCTCTTGGCCCTGGAAACTATCTTGGACAGGAAGTCCAAGCTGCAAAGACTGTGGCCTGGACTATCACAGGCTCCTCTGTTTCTGCAGAAACTCAACAGGTCACTTCCAGCCATACAGACACCTCCCGCTATACAGGCCTAAAGTCCTAAGTACCCATGAGACAGCTTAATCTGCAAAGAGTCTTTCCAAGGAAGTCACTGCAGCAACCTCCAAAACAACAAATGCAGGTCTATGCTAAAAATAAGGAACAAACAAATCCAAGACACGTCTTCTACATACATTGCTATGGCTTGGCTGATGCGGTTGAGGCTCCTCCAGGGTTCATGTGCTGAAATCCCCGCTATATACAATAAGGAGGTATAAAAGAGGCTGCAATTTAATCTATGACACTCAGAAGACTGTCTGGAATCAGACATGATCATCAAGATAAAGAGCCATGCACGAGTGAATGTTGGTGGCCTTTAAAGAAAAGGGAGAGAGAACAAAAGACAAACTGTCTCTTGCATGTGCATATGACGTCGTGCACAGCCTTGGGACTCTGCCAGGAAAAAGGCCATCACCGTTGAAGTACCACAACTGTGAGCTAAATACATTTCTTTTCTTTATAAATGTTCCCCTGGCCTCAGGAACTTTGTTGCAGTCATACAAAACAGACTGATACAGGAAAATTTGCTTTTATATAAATCAAATATAATGTGAATGTAAGTCATGAAACTCTCCTTCATTACTAAAATATTACTCGATGGTAAGGGTGACTGGCAGGCTTGGTGCCCTATTTTCTCCTGCACTGTAGTATCTGTGCAGGGTGGGAAGTCATGGATACAGCATCATGGCTGGTATCTATATCCCAAGCTACTCCTAGCAGCCACTGACAAGCCAGTGAAATCCAATGGACACTATGTCTCCTCTCAGTATAGAACACAAAGGCCCACAGCATCCACCCCACTAAGGAACAGCCACCTCCAGCAACAGGGAATTTCAGCTTTCATGTGAAATATCAAGTGATCGTCTGTAAATAAAATGAGAGTGAAAATGGGGGTGTGATCATCCTGCCTCGATGGTCTCCATTCTCCAGAGTGGGGCAGGTCAGAGGTCCCCCAAATTTTGTGCCTTTCTTTCAATGAGATAAGACCACGGGGCAGGAAAACATAGCCCTGGAAATGAGCTCAAATACCCAACCCTCATGTAACTGCCGCTGCAGCCCAGCCCCAGGTATAGGCCTAGTAACCTGGTATACGCCTTCTGTATCCAGTGACTAGGAAACACATTCAAGAACTACCGTCCCAGTCATCACTCTTCCTAGACGGCACTGTAGTCTGGCACACTGAAGGTGCTGTCCAGCCACTGTGCTTCCCTTCCTACTGATACTTCAAAAGATCACTGACCAGAAAGCATTATCTCTAGCCCCACAAACCACTGCCTCTACGACTCATACCCATTCAGGCTACCGCCTGCCCTGCAAGCAGGACAATTAAGTATCTACCCACTGGATGCAGTGTAACGTCCTTGGGCCTTCCCAGGCACCTTCCCCAACGGCCGTGCTTCTCTGTTCCAGACAGACAGGTTATAGACACAGGGTACAGTCCCATGGAGTCTAGCTGGTCCTGCATAAACGCCCACCCTAGTCAGCCAGGACACACAGAAAGGTGTCTGAAGCTATATTTTATCTGGTTTTGTAGCTGCTAAAAGACAGTGCTAAAACCATAGCAGTGAAATGGCTTAGAATGTGGCAGGCACTCACAGTGTTTACCACACACAACTGCTACCACAAAATGAAACGCTTTCTGAATAGATTTTATCCCTTTTGAAATAAACATAGTACTTGAAATCACCGTCTGGCCAGTATAATGCACAGGCCGAGTGTGCAGGCTGGTCTTCAGCCAGGAGCCAGTAGAGTCCTCTCCCTCCTCATCTGTCGGTGTCACTGGCTGATCATTAAAGACTTCCTCTTATGCAGTGCCAGTCTGTTCCTGATGAATTATTAATGAATTCTGGTGACCAGATCTGAAAAGCTGTAATTTCTTCTAACTTACATACCCATGAAATTTGACAAACGGATTGCCAGGTGACCACATTTACAGATGACTTGACTCCAATAAGGCTCCACTTTTGTGACCATTTCTAAGACCTTGAGTCACTAGGGTTTGAGAAGTTTCCTTTGTTAGTGAGTCTGCTATGATGAGGATAGTCCCTACCCTCCATGGGCTGGCTTGTCTAGGGGAGGGTGGAGAGTCCTGTGAAGACAGGAAGTGATTGCAAGCTCAACAGCGCCCTCCTTGGGCAGTGATGTGATAACAGGCATGAGGAGGGCTGGGACTAGGGTTCCACCTCAGACACACAACACACCAGGGACAGTAAGCCACCTTCTCCACAGGAAATCATAAAGATGCCAAGGTAAAACACTGGGCCACTTCATTAATTGCTCCCTCATGCAACGAGGCCTATCAACATCATGGAATTCTAAATGCCATATATTGTAACAGGCATAGTAAGGACATTAACAAGTTTCCAGACTAATGTTTTAAAAAGCAAGGAGAAACAGCACAAAGTGTCTCTCACACAGACTTGTATGAGAGTCCTAGGAACCTTTTATTTATTTGCATTTCTTCTGGTGTGAACTTATCCTCTCAGTACCAAGCTGGACTTGAACTTGACCAGCCCAAAGACCACTTTCCTCCTTGCTGTATGCTTCTGTCCCCAGTTAGTACATGGGGACATTCAAAGCACGTTCCAGAACCTCAGAGCTGTGAACTGGACTACACACTTCTGTGTAAACACTCAAAACCACCCACTCAAGTCAGAACAGTGGCAACCTAGTTTTTGAACTATGCTCCTTCAGAGCTTAAATTTAATGCAGTTCAACAAATCAGGGCCATCACTTATTGCTGTAGGACTAGTTTAATAACTACTATGCAGAGGGCTAGAGAGATGGCTCATTGGTTAAGAACACTTGCTACTCTTGCAGAGGCTGGATTCAGTTCCCATCACCCACACTGTGGCTTACAACTATCCGCAACGCCAGTTTCAGAGCATCTGACACCTACTTTTGACCTTCACAGTGACTAAGGCACACATATAGTGCACATCAACATACAAAAACACCCGTGCACATCAAACAAAAAAAACTTAAAATTTTAAAATAATTACTATGCACTCAAGACAAAAACAAAACAAAATAAAAAACAGACAACTACTTTTGCCTCTTTTACACAGAAATCTGCAGGCTTACCTTTGGCACGCAGTTGCAAGAGGTGACTGGCAAAAACGTAGCACTCTTCAAAATGATGAGGTTCTGTTTTTGTTTTTGTTTTCTGCTGAGGACACCTTGAAGGTTTACAAAGCTGTAGTGATCCTCTAAGCTCTTGTGTCAGTTCAGACCACAGCAGAGAAGTATGAGCTGGAGTGGCACTGTAGGAGAAGAACCTATGGGGTCTGTAGAGAAAGAGAAAGGATATATTAGAAATACAGAATATAGTTACAGAAAGCACATAATAGGTATGCTTGCTTGTTTGAGCTCAACTAACCATTTAAAAAGCAAGAAAGAAAAGGAAGACACTGGTGAAACAGGGCTGGAGAGATGGCCCAGCAGTTAAGACCGCTTATAGCTCTGGAAGAGGGACCAGCACTTGGTCCCCAGCACACACATTGGAGGCTCATGACTGCTTCCAACTGAAGCTTCCAGGGGATGCAATACCCTATCCTGGCCTTCTTACACACCTGTTCTCACATACAGAAACACACACTCACAGACACATACTTAAATATAAATCTTAAAAAAAAGAGAACCCCAAACACCTGGTAATTGATTGATCAGGGGAAAGCTCCTCCACACTGAGAAACATCCTGCAAACATGAGCACCTGGCGTTCCCCTATGTCTGCTTCCCTCCTCCACATGCTCCTTTGCAGGGGCCACACACACACACACACACACACACACACACACACACACACACAGTAGGTGAAGAAATGGCAATGGGGAACAGGATCCCAAGCATCTCCAGTGCTCTTCTCTACTCATGCCCCTCACAAAACTGCTGCCCCCAACAGAAGGAAGGCTTTCAGATGCAACAGAGGAGGACCACACAGAGCCCTGTCCAAAACTGACAGTCTCTTACACTGCCATTTATCAAGGTGTAACCAACTGAATTCCAGTCTTAGGACTAGAAGCATCCCCTGCCTCCATACCAGAGCTACCTGGCAGTTAAGGGGCAAATGGCCCTATTGTAAAGGTAGCCACACTTCCTCCTGCTTGTCCCAGCTGGCTGTGCATTCACTGTGCACACACTTGGGCAAACACCTCTGGTTTCCTCTACCATTTTCAAGAGGACACTGGTGTGCTCTGCAGATTCCCAAGCAAGTTCACTGGTATCTTTAATCACATTTCAAACCCAGAAGGGTCCTGTCTTGACAGTTCACTTGGAGAAGATCTATTAATTCAACTCTAGGATGATTACGACCCAAAAATGTTAAAAAAAAAAAAAACACAGAAAAAAATTGAATTCTATTTTACTCAAGTAGGAAGTGATAATTCAAGCAGAACTATCATAAAATGTTACAAGGCGAGCTCATAGCTTTTGATTTAAAAACGAATCCCTCGCTATACATTCTCAAGTTCTGTCTCAAGAGCTGTATGGTTTCAACAATATGACTTACTGTAAGGAAAAAGCCATAAGCAAATGCAGGGAAAATCCTAGGTGCCTTTCTCTCTGTCGAGTGTTTACCGTAAGATGAAATGAAGTATTGGCTTCCAGACTCGAGTTCTTACTCTACTGTTGACACCACTGACCCTGTTATCTATGTGGTTTAACTACGGCCCTGCCAACCATCTCTGTCTGCATTTCTAAGTTCCAGGTGTTATTCTAGATTGTTGGATTTTTAAGATTTTAACTGAGAAGAGGTTCTTGTCTGAAGTCAGGCTTTCTAAAGACTAGTTGTGCAGTGGTTTGGACACACATGAATGCCTCAACTTAGAGGGTGTTAACTCCCTTGGGGACTGTGTAGGTCAGCTTTCTGTTGCTATGACAAAATACCCAAGGATAATAATTGACTTTGATGGAGGAAAGATTTATTATGGCTTGGGGTTTTAGAGGATTCAGTCAATAGCAGGCTGGCTCTGTTGCTTTGGGGCCAGTGGCAAGGCAGAACACCATGGAAGAAATACATGGCAGAACAACACTTCTAACAGTATGGGAAAGTGAAAGAGAAAGAGTAGAGGCAGCCTGGCTCCCAATATCCCTTTCTAAGGACTCAGGAAAGGGGACCTAACTTCCTTCTAGACCAATGGGTTCTCAACCCTCCTAATGCTTCGATTCTTTAATACAGTTCTCATGTTGTAGTGACCCCCAACCATAAAATTAGTTTTGTTACCACTTTATAACTATGATTCTGCTACTGTTATGAATTGTCATGTAAATAGCTGCGTTTTCTGATGGTTTTAGACGAACCCTGTGAAAGGGTCATTCGACATCCCCCCAAGGGGTCACTACCCATGGGTTGAGAACCACTGTTCTAGACTTTACCCCCTAAAGGTTCCATCAGCTTCTAATGGTGACATAGGCTGTACACCTTTAACTCATGGTCTTTGTGGGACATTTAAGATCCAAATTATAGCAGGGCATGGACAGTCTTTACTAGGCTTTGCAGACAGAGATCCACCTGATCTTTGTACCCCCTTTGCTTCTTGGGATGGTGAGTTGAGAAGAAATGCTTCTAATAGGAACAGGGACACAGGTGTACCATATCCACCTGCCACAAGCAAAGCTAGGAACTGGAAACCCTTGATGTCCAAACACAGTGCCTGTCAATACCCCAGGCAAGGAAAACCAAGAGGGCCCAGGGCATGATTGAGATGGTGGAATAGCTGGCTGGGATGGTGATGAAACTGCTTGGAAGCCATCCTAAGGTGCCAGAGGCCCTCCTTTATACAAATGTGAGAAATGTTTACAGTGTTTTCCAAGAGAAAAGCAATGGGCTGTCAAACCATCCTCGTAACAAGCATGCACAGAAATCGGAATAAACACCGACTAAGACCTCGCCACAGGTTTAAGTGAAGTTCACCACTGTCTCTGTTGAATCTGGGACTGTCAGCTTATTCAAAACTTTGGTTAAGCAAGTACAGTTCAAAGCAGGTCTTTAATAAAAACAATCTGTGAATCAAAACCATTGCAGCAAGAACATTTCAATCAGGTCTTTAATGACAATCTACGATCTAAAAACATTGCCATGCAAAAACTATCAGCCTGCTTAGACAATGGCTACCAAGCACACAGCCACATGCAGAGTAGAAAGACCTCACTGGAGAATTTATTCAAGGACCTCCTGAAAGCCAGCATAAGGCCAGATGGGAAGATACGAAAAGATGAGTGTGTGTTGCTTTTAAAATACATCTGCACTCCCCTAAAAATCAAAAAATTAGATCAACATTTACACCATATGTATCTTTAAAAAAAAAAAAAAAACTTTAATTTGGACCTCATTAATATGACATTTTTCCTCTGTAAAATCCAAAGGTGGATCAGATCTAATTCCCTGTTAACACTGTGATATTCTTTTGTTCAACTAAAGCAACCCCTGGGGCTTACCACAGTCTGCTGCAAGGTGTGTAGGGGCAGTTTTGCTTCAACTCTTAAAGAGAATGCTCCAAATTGGAAAGCTTGGCCCCACGGGTTGTAAAGCCTGGCAGTGCTCTCTCACCCAGGTTCAGGATGGGCACAGATAAAAAGCTCAGTGCAAGCAGACCTCAACCACCCTTTTTCTTGTTTTGTTTTGTTTTAAGACAGGGTTTCTCCATGTAGCCTTGGCTGTTCTGGAGCTCACTGTGTAGACCAGGTTAGCTAGGGACTCAAAGAGATTGGTCTGCTTCTTCCTCAAGAGTGCTGGGATTAAAGTCATACACCAACACAAGCAGCCGTTCTGAATTTCTAAAGGCCTGCTGCAGCATATTCTGCGTGATGTGGGGCTACTTCCTTCCAATCTAGGGTCTGATGTGGACCCCTAATGCTGACACCCATAGCTAACACACTTCACTCTAGCTTGGTCACTTGGGGTTAATACAATGGTTATGGATGCATATTTTATAGGCTTACTACTGCTGGACATCGGGACTCCCTTTGCTTCAGAAATGGCCAACCCATTCGGGTGGCTCCCAGTAGAGGTTACTCTTCCGAAAGCTCTGGAAACCCACTTTTCCTCCCTGTCTCCCTGACAGAAACACAATGGGCAGAGAAGAACAGGCAGTGGCTCCATTGCCACGCTCACTAAGGCTAACCTGAGCCTCAGCAAGATGCACAGCAACCAGGAGCCCGTGCCCATCCTTCCGCCAGGAGCCAGCCCATAGGAGCCATCAGCTAGAATGGGAGCATATGTTCTCTCCACAAAATGATCACCACGAAAAGGCTAGCAACTGTTATTGGTGACTACTGCCTTCCTGGAGTGCTTCCTATCCTAAAAGACTGGCTTCAAACTCAAAGCAAGCAGACAGTGCCAGGCTTTGTGGAGCAGAAGCCCATGAGGGCACCGTGACTTCCATTTTTAAAGTGACTGCATGTCGAGGCAGCCATGAAAGACCTGCTGAGTAACAATGTCTGGCTGGGCTAATAGCGCACAAAAGGCTCAGGTATGGGGTTAAGCATTCCTTGTTTAATATGCTTAGAAAATATTTCTGATTCTGAACTATCTGCATGTTACTAGGTTTGCATCTCTAATCCAAAGATCTGAAATTTAAAATGTACCAAAATATGAAACTATTTGAGCACCAAAAGACTTCAGATTAGGAAATACCCAATGTGAAAGTAAAACATAAAAAGACCTCCCAGCTCAAATCAAAAGACAGTTCAAGGCGATTGTTTTTAATCCTTTCTATAAAAAGAAAAACTCATGTGAACAGTAACGCCTCCAGGCTCTGGAACATCTCCTTGCTATACTTTACTCAATGGAAGACACTGGTTTCTGACAGTGAACAGAGCAACAAGCCAGCTTGAATGAGTTCGCTACAGTCTAATCTTGGCTTCCCTGGCTAAAGCCAACGCTGATCTTGAGCAGCTCAGAGTTTGTCAATCTGAGTCATGAGTCAAAGGCTCCAGGAGGATGACATCAGCACTGTCTATCACCCACAGCACCAAAAAGGTACCAATCAGTGTCCCAAGAGGGCTGAAATCCACTGGCAAGTCCCAGAATTCCAAAAGGTCCCAGAGAACCCTGAACTTTCAGTCAACAGAAAGCGCTCGTGAGATGGCAAAGTACGAAGTTTTCTGTGCTGACCTGAGGGTATACCAATTCCAAAGAGTAATGCCAGTTATCAGATTAGAAGTCATTCCTGACAAAGCCAGTATTGAGTCTAACCTCTGCAATAATGGTTTCTGCCTTCAAATATCCTAGGAATGAGAAAAAAACAAAACTGCAAACAGTGGGTCAACCATATACAATTACAATT